AGTGAGTGAGTGAGTGAGTGAGTGAGTGAGTGAGTGAGTGAGTGAGTGAGTGAGTGAGTGAGTGAGTGAGTGAGTGAGTGGAGTGAATGGGTGGATAAGTGAGTGGATGGATGGATGGATGAGTGAATGAAAGAATGGATGGATGAGTGAATGACTAAATGAATGGATGGATCAATCAATCAATCAATCAATCAACCAACCAATAACCCAAGATCCATCCACTTATCGAACAACTCTGTTCAAAAGCAGTACCAACCGTCTGTTTGCCGGTCCAAAATGCTGCCTGTCGATAATATGTGGACGTGTGAAGAGTTTAAATCGTATCTCAGGTTGGTTTTTGTTGTTGTGTTGTTGTTGTTGTTTGTTTTGCGGTTGTTGTGTTGTTGTTGCCGTGTTGTTTTGTTGTTTTTGTTTGTTTGGTTTTTGTTGTTGTGTTGTTGTTTGTTCTGTTGTTGTTGTTTGTTTTGTGGTTGTTGTTGTGTTGTTGTTAGTATGCTAAACTCTGCATTGACTCTCTCTCTCACTCACGCACACACACACAACCATCTAACAATATCATTCCGACAAAACCTCATTCTGTCTATCGCCCTCACACACACACACGCACACACACACACACACACACACAAACTCGTACACGCATGCACACACACACACACACAAACTCGTACACATACACACACACACACACACACACACAGATCGACATACAGCAACCTGCCAGATCCATGGGCCAACATCATCGTACCGGGAATGAAGAAGGGGATACTGAACGCCCTGCTTTGCACGCAAGACCTCATCGACCATCGCAAGGTTGGTTGGATCTCGTCTTTTGCCGGCCGGCCGGTTTCATTGAAGTTATCCAGTTGAAATCTTTTAAAAGAAGCTTTAAACCTGCAAAAATGTTAACAAAAGCGCTGAGTGTTAAACTACGAACACGATTTCGGTAGAGTGGGCTAACGGTTTGCCTGGATTTGAAATATAGCTTACTTTACACTGAATGGATGACTGATGATAATTTCAACTAATTTTTTTAACTAGATAATTTATGTGTACCAACATAGCAACATATACGACACGCACACAAAACAACACCCTCACACCTACTCAAAACTATATATACAAACACATACATGAATGAATGAACAAACGAACGAACGAACAAACGAACGAACGAACGACTGAATATCGATAAATCCACACATATGACGCAGAATTCATTTGAACTATTCGGTGCCGACTTCATGCTACTGGAAGATTTCACACCATGGCTCATTGAAATCAACAGCAGCCCAAGTATGGCAAGGACGACCACCGCCACTGCATATTTAGTTGAAAAAGTTCTCGAAGATACCATTAAAGGTACTTTTTTTAGCACCTTTATGTTAGTTATGGAAGCCGCGATGGTGCGCTGATTAAAGTGTTTGGTAGTGCTTTCGCTGTGACTGGATTCGATCGCAAGAGGCCCCCGCCTTTTACTGCAGTGCTGCTTGTTAATTAATAATTTTGATAATTTTGAAAACATTTTCAAGAGAGAATGACAAAAGAGAGAGAAAGAGGGAGAGAAAGAGAGAGAGAGAGAGAGAGAGAGAGAGAGAGAGAGAGAGAGAGGATATTAGTGCCTTTTTGTTACCTGTTAGGGATACATTTGTTGTGATATCATTGATAGATTTTAGGGACAATTTTTTAACAGTTGTTTTGATTGATTTTTGTTTATATTATTGGTAGCTGTCTTTTGGCGTATGATAGTATTTGGGAATTGGCCAGACAGAATTAGAACCAGAGCCTAGCGAGTCAAGGCAGTTATCAATATGCCATTCATCCATTTATTCATTTTTCCATCTATTCATTCATCCATTCATCCATCCATCTTTACATAATCAAAACCACAAACCTCATCTTCATCCTCACCGCCATAAATTCCGCCATGACAGTTGTAATCGATAGACATCAAAACAAGTCATGTGACACTGGGAAGTTTGAACTGGCCTATAGGCAGCCGCAGGTCTATGAATATTCAGAGGAGGGCGAAGTCAGTTCGTCACTACTCACCAGCGATGACTTAATTATGCGCGGAGTTAAGATTAAAAATATTTACAAGAATTAATTTTTTTGTGTATGAAATTATAAAATTTGTTGTTTTGGAATGGCTTTTTAAAGAAAAAACTGCTTAATTCTTATCGTAATTAAATGTTAATCTTAGCAAAATAACTAATTTCTACTTAGTTGAAATTGCTATTTTGGAGTAAAACAACTTATTTTTTATCTGGATTTGAGCAACTCTTCTGAAAATTTACTTAATTTACTTAATTTAACGCATATATTCCGTGTAATTAGCGATAATGTATTGATAGCGTCTATATGCATATTGCATATATATGTATACTATATCATTACAGAGTGTATATATATATATATATATATATATATATATATACCAAATACGTAATAGATATATAGGATATGTATCTATTTATCTATCTAACTTTCCATCCATCTATTGAGACAGTATTATATCACTTGAACGTCTTTGACTTTTATCGAAAATTTGATACGGTAATATTTTAATAAAATAATAATAATAACTACTCTAATTGGGAATGATTGCGTTAAGGTGTTATATAAGTGTACGTGTGATTGAAAGTGTATGTGAGAGTGTATGTGTGTGTGTTTCTGTGTGTGTGTGTTTCTGTGTGTGTGTTTCTGTGTGTGTGTGTTA